CTCTCCCGCGCAGCGCCCGCACTGCGAGACGCCCTCCGGGACGCCGCCGAGGCTCCGTCGCCGGCTCCGCTGGCTCCTCTCCCTCCTTCCTGGCTCTGGGCCGCTGGCCCGCCGTTGTCGCTCTTCGGCCGCTTTCTTCCTCCTTCCCCTCGCCGTCTGCTGCCGATCCTCTCCGACTCTGTGCTCGCTCTTCCTTCGCCTCCTGCCTCCTCTCCAACCCGCGCGCGTCTCCAGTCCTCCGCGCTCTCTCCTGCCTCACTCCATCTCTCTGCTGCTCAGTCCCTACCTATCCCTCCCACCCTTGCTTCTCGCTTCTTCGACGCGCTCCTAGTCTCGCTGAGCCCCCTACCCCACCCCCGTGGCCCCTTCTCCTCGCACCCTCCTTCCCTCTGCCTTGCTGCACCCCCCCTCCCCCTGGTGACCCCTCTCCTACACACCCTCTTCAGCCGGGCACTGCCACAGCTTCAGGCTCCCAGGCCTGGCCACCAAGCGCCTCTGACCCAAAGAAAGACCTCTCCCCCAACTCCCAGCCTCAAAGGAGTTTTGCAATAGGCAAGGACAGAGGAGTTAGGGGGTCAGACACCAATCGGGAGCACAAGAGGAAAAGAAATAGTTCAGGCACATGTCAGATTGTGGGGCAAGCCAGGCCCAAGGGGCCAAGAGGAAAGGCTTGGTCCTGGAGTGGGTGACCCCAAGAGTCCACAGGCAGGCAGCTCTGCCAACTGCTGTCCCCCCTCTCCTCCTCTCCCCTCCCCTCCCCTCCCCTCCACAGCTCAGCTGGACACTTCTGTGCTGCTGGGAACTTCAGAAGGATGATACCAGGAAGGACCTAATCTTCCCAAATCTAATAGGCGTTAGGCCACATGCAGTCTCCCAAAGCTCAACCTCCCACAGGGCAGGTGGGGACGAGCCTGCGAGGACCTGAGCGATGGCACCATCCTTGTGCCCCCCGTGGGGTGGGCACTCCGTAAGTGTGTTGCTCAGGGCTGACACGGGGCTGCCCATGCTGGGTGCTTTATAAGCCTGTACTCATTTCCCTCGGAGGTTGGCATTATCCTCAGGTCACAGACACAGAAACTGACACCCTGAGGGCTGAAGGGACTGGCCCAAGGGGCAAAGGACTAGGATGCCTGAAACCAAAGTCTGGTTGCTCTGAAACCAGCATCTTTCCCACCTCCACCCTCTGACCAGTTCTGGTCTCTCAATCAGAACGGGTCTCCCATCAGACCTCCAGGCTGCCCAGTAGCAGCCTGACCTCTAAAACTCCAGACCAGGGTGTGTTCCCACCTGGGCAGGAAGGAAGGGCAGGAGGTTTCACTGTGCCCAGTGGGCCAGGCAGGAAAGGCCACCCCTTTTTCCCTCTTCCCAACACCCTGTCTTCCTGCTCACAGTGCTCTCTCCAGCTTGGCCTTTTCCAGCCCCCACCTGGCCACTGCTTTGATGGTCCAACTGCAGGAAATCAGAGGTCCCCCTCCCAACAACACCCCACCCCCGCCATCCGTCCCAGTCCACAGGGGCTCAGGGTCTTCTGGAGTGAGGGGAGCCATACTGTGCCACCTATGGGAGGGGCTGGGGGGCCCAGCAGGGGTACACCACATCCAAACTTCTCCTCAGCCCCGCCCTGCCCCAGAATTAGTCCTTTTGTCTGCCTCTTGTCTTTCTGGGGTCCTGTCTTTCTCCAGCCTTTCTCTTCCTCCTCTGTCCTTTTATCTGTCTTCTTGCCCCCTCCTGTTCCTCTTCTTTGTCGCTCGCCTTCTTTCCTGTGCTTGTCTGTCTGTCTGTCTTTCTCTCTCTCTCTCTCTCTCACACTCTCACTCTGTCTTTCTCCCTGGCACAGGCTCCTCCTTGCTTCCTTCCTGTCTCCCTGCTCATCTTGCTGCATCCTACAGCTCCCCCAACTGAGCCTTGAGGATAATGCTCCATAGCTTCTCTTGCAGGAGCTCAGCCAGATACAGCGGAGGGTTCTGGGCCTTCAGACGTCAGCCCCCTGCCATGCTGAGCACTGGAACTCAGAAGCCGGCTAGGGCTCCAGGTGGGTAGGAGTAGCAGACTACGGAGGGTGTGGCAAGGGTCCCAGCGACTTCACAGAAGCACAAGGCTGTGTATGTGGCCTTGGACGATTTGCTTGCCTTCTCTGGGTTTCAGTTTCTCTGTCTGCAAGTCATACCAGCCCAGCCCAGGCCCCCACGTCAGGTTGTAAGCCTTGGACAACCTTACAACGAAGCAAGAATCATGGTGCCAGGCAAACCAGTTTCTCTCCCCTTGCTGCGATGAGTAATGGCCCAGACAGCTGGGATGGAGAGATAACAGAAGGCCCAGACTCCACTTCTGGCCCACAGCCCCCACGGTGAGGATGAGCAGGCACCCGCCCCCCCAAAGGCTGAGCGCAACCTTCCATGTTCCTGTGGGTCCTCCCAGCTGGCTTGCAAGACTGGGGCCATCGACACCAGTCCACCGATGGAACACCCAAGGGAGGTAAAAAGTCAACCCCCGACCTCTCTTCAGATTCCGTGCTGACTCCTCTCTCCCTATTAGCTGAGAGCACCTCCAGGAGAGAGTAGCAGCCCCCCTGTCCCCCTGCTGGGCAGAGTGATGCCGGCTGGCTGAATGAATGAATGTATCAGTGTTTCTCAACCTTCTTAATGCCACGACACTTTAATGCAGTTCCTCATGTGGTCGTGACCCCCCAACCATAAAATTATTTTTGTTGCTACTTCATCACTGTAATTTTGCTACTGTTATGAATGGGGTGACCCCTGTGAAAGGGTCATTCGAGCCCCAAAGGGGTCTCAACACCCAGGTTGAGAACTGATGGAATATACGAATGAAAGAGTGAAGCCGCGTCTTTGTTAACCTTGCTAAGATGTGACCTGGTGTGTGTGTGTGGGGGTGTCCGCCCAGAAGGGATTCCAGAGGGAACCAGGTGAGGTGGGTGGCATAGTGGTGGGGGTGGCGGCTTATACTAGGTGGAACTGGTGTAGTAGTTACCCCTTGGGCTGCCGTTGTATGGTCCACAGTTTAAAACCACCAGCAGCTCTGCCTGGGCTTTCTACTCCCGGAAACAGTTACAGTCTCAGAAACCCGTTGGGGGGTGGGGAGTGGTGGTGGTGGTGCTGTGAGTCAGCGCTGATTCGCAGACAGTGAGAGTGCTAGCCATCTGGTCTGGGTTACTCACTAACCCAGATTAGGCAGCCTTGGATTCACCAAGCCAGCACCCCTTGGCGATTCTGTCCCTGTTCCTCTGTCTCCCCAGCCTGGTCAATTCGATCAAGAAGCCCTCAGTTGGGAGCTAATCCATCTCTACCTCTCTCTGACATTTGTTCTTGTCCATTTTTAATAGCCAGAAGGTCTGGAACTCGGTACCATGGACATCAGCATTCTAGAAAGATCTGCACCCTGGCGGCCTTGATGGAAGTTTCTAAACATTGAGTTAAAGATCAGTAGGAAGTGGGTCCGTATCCAGGTGGTGCAAAAATGACTGATATCTGGGGAAGGTTGACCTAATTCCACAATTGTGGGGAGGACATGGCAGTGGCCTGGCCTTTCACCTCCATCTCCACCCCCACCCCCCACCCCTGCCCCTTCCATTCTCAGTTCTGGCCGCCCAGGGCAGACTGCAAGGAGGAAATGTTTTTCTTCTTCAATTGGAAAAAATAACAGTGGGTCTGGGCTGTGCTGGGAGGACGGGGCTTCTGGGCCCCCTGCTTTGGAAAATGCTTTCCCTGCCGGAAACGCTCTTGACGCCCTGACCCCTCACAGCTCTGCCTTGGTGACAGACAGGAAGGTGCTGGAGGCAGAGTCCTCCAGGAAAGCTTAGCGCCCTGGGCCACGGGACCAGATAGCGACCGGAACCAGGGCTGGGCTGGCTTCTCAGGGACTTTCCAGGCAGAGCCCCCATCCCTCCCGGGGCAACTCTCCGAGGTGGGTGTCATGGTGTCATTTTCCTGATGGGGACATTGAGCCACACAGCTCAGCGGTGTGCAAGCCTTTGTAGCGGGGCTCTGGGCCTGACCACTGGGTGATTGTGGGTGTCCCTCTCTTCTTGTCTCATTTTCCTTGTCAGGAAAAGGGGTGTGCAACCCCCTCTTCGCAGACTGTGAAGACGACAGCGTGTGCATGTGGACAATGCCAGCACTCCTGAGTCAGGCCAAGCCACTGTCTACCCAACCCCCCTCAGCCCACTCCCACCCCCCCTGCCAGACTCCTGAGGGCCAATGAGGTGGGCCTTCTCTAACCCATCATTGTCACCTCCTGCAGAAGAGAGCCCCGGAGCACATAGCACTGGTCATCCTCATAGCTAGCATCCGCCACAGGTGAGGGACATCCTTGAGAGCGGGCCCATTCAGGCCTCTGACATACAAGACCACCTGTTTAACTGGGTCAGGGCTGGGGGAGGGAGGGGGGCGGTTCCTTCCCTTCTTCTCACAAACCCGGGCACAGACAATGACGCTCAGAGAGGTCCAGTGTCACCCGGCAAACAGGCTGGATGGGCACCCTGTGCCCCCTTGTGAGGGGTCAGGTGGCTTTGACAGCACACGGACAGGGGACACGGCACCCATTACACTTGTGGGTCTACACTGGAGCTGCTGCCAAAGCTCTGCCGGAGTTTCCTTGGCTGATCCCATTCCCCACCCCTCCCACTCTGCCTGGGACACTGGGAAATGTGGCACTTTGGCCCTTGGTTCTGACCCCACTTGAGGATTCTAAGTGTCCCCTCTCCTGCCTCCCCCACTGGATGCCACCACCCAGTGTCAGTGGCCCAGCCTCCCTGTGGGGGACAAACCCCGAGGGTTTCCTCCTTCCTCCTCCCTGCGGGTCAGGAGGAAATGGTTCTCATTCCTGCATGTGAGAGGCGTCCTCTCCCCACTCTGTGCACATCTTTGGTCAGGGGGCAGAGTTGGGGTGGGCTGGGGACCCATGGCGGGCGCCTGGCCTGCTGTGCCCCCGCGTGGCCCCTTTGTGCTCTGTGCACGGGATAATGGGCAGCATTCTCAGACGCCCAGTCATGGGTCTGGGCCTGAGAAGGGACCCAGGGCAGCTCCACACTGAGCCCTCTGTCCAGCAGCCGCCATGGAAGGGCAGGGTTGCCCTGGGGGCCCCCCACCCACATTTCCTGGTGGAGGCCATCACCAGGAGACAGGCGTCCTGAGCAGGCCAGGGGACAAGCTGTCACAGTGACCCCTGCACAGACAGGAGGCCCCATCAACATGTCCCAAATGACAGGAGCTACAGAAGGAAAGGGACCAGACGGAGCCTAGCAGGATGGAATAGGGCCAGGGAGACCTACTGTGTGCTGAGCACTTCCCTCCAGTTCATATAAGATCACCCAGGAGCTGCCCTGCTGACTTTTAGATAGAGGAGTCAACTGGGCCTGAGGGAGGCCAACTATGATAGTTACATAATTTCATGTCAACTTGTTAAAGAGGTTGTAGGGGTGGAGTTTAGCCTGTTAATTAGGCCATAGCCAATGAGTGCTCTGTGTGGGTGTGGCCTTCTCCCCAGGGTTCTGGGAACTCCTGTGTTCCTCCCTGGAAGTGGAACACACTCTCCTTGGGACACATTCCTGTTGATAAGCTAGTTGGAGCTATGCTGATGGAGCCAGAGCCCTGGAGCTGGAGAAGCCATGTGGAGACCCACACCAGCGCTGAGATGCTTCTACCGCCACTAGATCCACAAGACTTCCCACCCACTGGCCTGTGATCTTCCTGCACTCGGGGTCATTGCATGTGTTGCGTGAGTCTGAAGAGGAATTTATAGACCAGTATCCAACATATGGGCTAATATCGGACTTATGGACTTGATCTGGACTGGGCTGGGATGTTTTCTTAATGTACCTTGATATAAAATTCTCTATTACATATGAGTGTCTATGAAGTTGTTTCCCTAGTCAACCCAGACTAGCACACCAACCGATGATCCTGGATTTGAACTCAGGTCTGTCTGACTATTCAGCCCATTTGGCACACGTGGCCCTGAGGACACAGCAGCGGCAGTACCCTGGAGCAACACATCTGAGGTGACAGGAAGTGGAGGAGTCAACTGACCAGACTGATGGAAGCAAGCAGTGTGAGCATCCCAGGGGTGGTAGTACTAAGCCGAGGCTTATGCAGCTCTGAGTACCCAAGTCACCCAGCCTCATCCCTCTCCACCAGGCAGGGCCTGGGGCACATGTACAGAGTGGACACTGAGGCTCAGAGGAAGAGCTTGCTCCTGTATCCTGTGCTTCTCGCACCCAATTCAGATCCCAGCCCTACTGCGTCCTACCTGTGTGACCCTGGCTAGCTCCCATCACCTCTCTGACTTCCGTCTCCACACCTGTAAAATGAGTGTGAGAGTCTGTCTCTCTCCAGGCCGTGAGACTGGCATGGGCATTTAGTAGCAGCAGTCCAAGGCACAGGCTGGTCTGTGACCTGTTCATTATAGTCAGTGCGAGGGGGAGGGGGGGATGCTCGCCCCACCTTTTCTGCAGGGCTGACTTTGGAAAGGTCTGACCCTGATCTGCCCTGGGACAGGATGGGGCGGGGCACTGGGCTTTGGGCTTTCTTGAGCTGCTCACAGGGTGGTACTTCTCCATGCCCACTACCCCCCACCCTCGTCAGAGAACAGCAACGACAAACAGTAATAGTATCAGGCACGCCTACAGCCTTTCTGTGGGCTGAGCCAAGGGTTAAGCACCTTGCATTTGTTCATTTTTTAATTATTGTTTTTGTACAAATATACCAGATATACTCGTATACAAGCGGAGTTTTTCAGCTCATTTTTAATGCAGTTTTTGTGGTAAAATTAGGTGCCTCGGCTGATCTTTGGGTTGGCTTATCCTCAAGTATAGACAGTAGGTGGTCATACATTTGCCAATGCCTCTATTAATGTATTTATTTATTTGATATCTTTAAAATATTGATTGATACTTTTTTCTTTCTTTTTTTTAAATCATTGTATTAAGGGCTCATACAAATCTATCACAATCCATACATACATCAGTTGTGTAAATCACATTTGTACATTCATAGCCCTCATCATTCTCAAAACATTTGCTCTCCACCTAAGCCCCTGGTATCAGCTTCTATTGATGTATTTAAACCTCACGGGAGCCCTAAGAGAAGGGAATGTTATCATACCCTTTTCTGGATGGGGTCTCTGAGGCACGGAGAGGGGAGGTAGCTGGCCCGAGGTCACCCTCCAGCTGGTACTTGATGGAAGGCGATTCCAGAGTCCTTGTTCTTGAGAAACACGAGTCTCCGTAGTCGCTGCCCCAACACCAGTGGGCAAAGCTGGCTCTTGAGTTGTCCTCACCGTGATAGGTTTGCCTGCCTTCTTTGTGCCCCAATCAACTCCTGATGCCCTCTCCTACCTCCGATGCCCAGGCCCCTCCGCCCCTCATAGCACCCCCATCAGATTCTGCTGTCCACACAGGACACGTGTCTGCCCCAAAGACCCAGGGGACCTGGAGAGAGGGCTGTGGATGACCTCGTCTGGGGCACAGGGTCGCTGCCAACAGTCCTTATGATGGCTGACTCGCTGCGTACCACCCAGGACACAGTCGCCAAGTGGGCAGGTGGCCATACTTACTGCCAAGGCTCCTCCCTGAGCACCGCCAGACCGGCTGCCCAAGCTGCTTCCAGCCTCATTTTGTTCACGTGACCACACTGGTCGCCCCCTTCCCGGAACCAGGCCTCATCAGGCCGCCTGCTCCATATGCTTCGGCTGGGAGACCCTGCAAGTGGCCGGTCCTCCACAATGCGCTGTTCCCGGCCCCCCGGCCCTCGTCCACCTCCACCTCCACGCACAGGCCAACCCTGAGTGGGATACTCTGGGGCAGAGGCTGGCCTACCTGACTCCTGCCCTCTCTCCCTGAGCACCATGGGGGATTTGATGGTGAGCCCACAGGCATGGCCCCTGCCCACAGCTCAGCTGTGACCAACTCACCTAACAAGGTGAAAGCAGGTGGTTTGGGGAGAGAATCATGGTGGGGCGGGGCCGGGAGAGCCTGGAACCCATCTCGGGGGCCAGCGAGGGTCCCAAGGCAGCAACCCTCAAGCTAAGAGCTGTAGGATGCAGAAGCCAGGGGTGAGCGGCCACAAGGTGCCACGTGGGCAGAGCAGGTGAGGAGCTCACCTGGGGATGCAGGGAACCCCGGGACTCCAGAGAGCCTCGGAAAGGGCTGAGGGAGGAGACTGTCTCGGGTGTCCAGGCAAGCAGTGGTGGCAGCTGGATGGAGCAAGGAGAGGGTGGCCTTGGGGCTGTTTAGAAGGTGGTCTCATCAGGACCTGAGGAGAGGAAGGGGCCAGGTGGGGAGCTCCGGATTTCCAGGGCATGAGAGCGCCTCTTTCTGAGGCAGCACTGTATAGGGGAACAGGCTAGAGCTCACTGCGAGGTGTTGAGTTTGAGACTCCTGACCCTGGCCTGGCCTCCCAGCCACAAGGGCCTCCAAGGGGTGAGAGCTTGGCCCTCCCTGGCCCCGGGCCTTCTCCAAAGGGCCAGAGCCCCGGCCCCAGGAGAGAGGCAGTAGGGCCCCTGGGGCTCCTCCAGCTTGTGCCAGCCTCAGGGCTTCTGGAGAGGTGACCTCCATGATGGGCTCAAGCCCCGCTGTGAGACTCCCCTAGAACCACCTGCTTGCCTCCCTCTCTTGGTAGGGTAGCTGTGTCATTGCTGGGGGACTTGGTCAAAGTCTGCCTCCCCGGTGTGTGTGCCCCCACAAGCCAGGGGGTGAGGGGAGACCTGGGCATACCTGTCAGGGACGTGCTGTGAGTAGGGTGGGGGCGGCCTACACAGTGGGATCCTGTGTAGACTCACAGGGATCCCGGTGTGTGGCTGATAGGGACAAAGACAACCAGGGCTGGGGCTGGAGCCAACTGCTGTGTGGCCCATGCATGCCAGGATGCCCGCCCGTAGTAATTGTCGAGGGAGCCAGCCCCCCTTGTCGTGCTGCCCACGGTCTGGAGGAGGGTTTCCTCATGACACACCATTATTTTTATGGTCCACCTTCAAGAGCCTGTCCCGTGCTTTGGAGCACTCTGCCTGGCTGGGGTGCTCAAGCCCGTGGGCTGCGGATCATCCACAGTCTGACCATAGGTGGTGGTACATCTGACCTCTGGCTTTTAGATGGCCCAGGCTTTAGTCCTGTCTAGTGCAACGGTGGGTAGTCCAGACCGTGGCCTTACCTGGTCCAGCCTTTGGTCTTGAGTGGCCCTGCCCTTAACCCTAGTCAACTCACTCAGCACAGGTTTTTTTTTCTGGCCAGAATCTTCCCTTTTGCAGAACTTGAAGCCAATTCTTTAGGGACTTTTGAGTGACACCATCCTTCTTGTTCAAGGGCAGCCTCCGCTGACGCAGTGTGATGTCTCAGGCTGAGCCACCCACCCACCCGTGTCTGCACTTCCTTCCAGGCATTGGACAGCTTCCTCCTAGAGGCCCTGTTACCACCCCAAGTTCCTTGGTCCTTGTCAGATCAAGTCTCATCACAATCCTGAACTTCTCTCTCTGCCTTCTCCTTCCAAGGGTCTGCCCGGCCTCAGCCCCTCCAGGTAGCCTGCCTGGACCTTCCATGCTGGGGCAGCCCTCTCCCCAGGCCTCCCACCACCGGAACACTCACACAGGTGACGCTGGGTCTGTGATCCTGTCTCCCCCACCTGCCAGAGGGCATCTCGAGAGTGGAATCTTGCCCGGGACATCCCTGTGCCCCCTGCCCCAGCCCAGGGTCACCAGACAGATGGTTGGACTCACGGCAGGCCAGCCAGGGTGGATGCATGGATGGCAATGAGAAGCTGATGCTCACTCCCGGGGAGTGGAGGGATGACCCCTGGGGGACCCAGCCTTGACAGTCCCTCCCCTCAGCTTCCTGCTGTGTCCCTGACTGCCACTCACCCACCCACCAGGGAATATGGCCACTGATTCCACTGGCCTAGGGGCTGGGGGGGGAGGGGGTGTTCGTGAAACAGATCATCTTGTGGGGCAGGTCTTCTTTGAAAGA